TGGCGAGATAGGTAAGCAAGGAAAGATAGATACAAAATGACAAGACGCTATCTCCCCCACCCCAAATGCAGGTCCCACTAATTACCATCTCTCCCGTAAGCTTCTGGAAAGCTGTGAGCGTGTGTGATCATACCCACAGCAAGGTTGTACCACGCGTTCCATTGTTCACCTTGGACCTTTCACCCGGTGATATATCTGGGAGATGTTCACACGTGAGTGCATGTGGGTCTGTGGCATCCTTTACACGGGCCATTCTGATTTTCAAGTTCCCACCACAGGCACTGACTCTTTGTTCCAAATACTCTCCTCTGTCCGTTCTTATTCTCCAGACTTTCTGTACCAAAATGCACTGGCTACAGTGGGCATCCAGGCCTTCGGTGAGCACGTTTCCAGATCCTTGAGTGACTAAATGAGCAAACTAACCCCACTTTTTAACCCCAAGTGTGTGCTCCTGCTAGTGTTGGGTCATGCACGGAAGACCATTCCCTGAGCATGCTGGTCGTAGAAAGGGCTGCTGCATGGGGCCTCAGGCCCCTCACTGGATGGTCCCATGGTGTGGACATGACCTCCCGGGAGGCTCAAAGCAGAATATTCCCGTTCATGTCTGCTGTCGGTCATGTAACTAAATGAAGTCCGCACACAACCGCGAGTCAGAAAGCCATGCACAGACGTCAGCAGGGTTCCTACTAACGCTGCACTAGGACCACCGCACAGTGGGACTGAAACATGGGATCCCCTAAGATGAAGCAGGCCCTGCTACATCTGGCAATAGCCAGAGACATTCCCCACCTCAATAAGTTTCCTTTCTCCTTCCTCTTGCAACACGCCTTTCCTCTCTCTTGGTTCCATGCTCTGCCTGCTCCTCTGGGTTTGGTTTGGTTTTGCTTTGTAATGGCAGTGTTTTCGAGCTACTCATACTCACCCTAATTCCCATACCAGTGACCGTGGGGTTATAATCTACATGACTGAGACACCAAGGTAAAGGACAGGAATGAGATCAACACATGTATTGTGCATTCTCGATGGCCTCTCCCAGGTAAGAATCATGAGAAGCCGACTTGCGCGTGGCAGGCGATCTCTCCCCACGGCCCTCAGGGTGCGCGAGGTGGTGAGTGGACCACGCACCGTCCAGGGCCGTGGATGGGGAGTGCTGTGATCCCAAAGTTCACCTGGAGTCAGCATCTTCCCATGCTTTGTCCCATCTTTACTGTGCCTGATTTCTACCGGGTTCATTTTACTAACTGATGAGTTCACCAAATAGGGAGGAATGTCAGAACAACAAAGGACATATGTCCCAAATCCAGAGCTAAGTAAGGTGGGTAGATTATTAATGGTGTCCCTTCATCCCTCACATATGAACCCTATCCCCTTTACATGCTGGGTATGTGCTGTGCCTTAAGTTGTAGCATGCCTGATGGTGAGAAGGGATTGCACACACTCTTGGTCCTTTGATCCCCACAATTGCCTTGGAAGGTGGACGTTCACATCCCCCTTTTATCTTTACAAAGATAAAAGTGGGGTGAGTTTCCCAAAGTTGTATCCTGGGCTTTTGACCTCTGGCGGGTCCTTCTCCCCACCGTACCTCCCATTTTCCCTCAGGTGTCAAACACAATCTCTGCTCTCGGGGAGAAACAGAAGAACTGTCTGGGCTCACACACTGGCCCAGCCACGTTTGGGGTCCCTCCTGCTACCCTCCTCTCCTCCATCTTTGTCCCACACCAGTTGTGTGGTGCTTTGCATCCCAGATGGCAAAAGCTTCCACTGGTGACAGGTGTGGGTGGCCTTTGGAGGTGAAGGAAATAAACATTCCACCAGGGGATTTTGCTCCCAAGTAGCAAATACTGCGTACAGCTGCAGGTGGCCTCGAGCTCCGAGGCCATGGCCAACCCCAACCTGCCTGTTGTCACACAGTGCAACAGAGGCTGCCCTTCCGGTGGCCATGGTAATAACCTTGCACCATCTCTGAGGAAGGTTGAGAGGATGTCTGTAGTCTGGCCAGCCTCATTCTTCACCCCCACTGTCACTCACTCAGTCTTTCCCAAGTATCACCCAGTGTCCCCTGAACCCTTCATTCTCTGGGCATCGTCTTCATCGCTCCTACATCCAAGATGGCGCCTGAGTCCTGCTGTGCACAAGACGATGGTTATGAGTAGGGTTGGCCCATCGACGGCAGGAGGAATCTTCTGTGTTTTAAAATATAACAGCTTGTTGAAGGCTTTATCTTTTCTCTGAAGATGCAAAGTGCACTGATTTTCATTATTTCTAGTCATTGGTGGTGGAGATGGGAGGGTACTCAACAGTTTCCTCCATAAACATCTTGAAAAACGATCAGGTCAAGATCTTCTCTTGTTTGGCCTAAAGAAGATTGTCTGTCTCTGGGCTAATTTCACTGAGTTACGGAGGGCTTATTTTTTAACGCATTAAGAGACCCTCCATGGTGGAAAAATAAGTGCTATTTCTCATAGTACCAAACCTGTGATTAAAATCTCTGCTCTTTGAGAGGGGGAAAGCAGCATCCCTGATGGGAGCTCTCTTGGAACAAGAGGTCCTTCTAGTTTTGGGTCTCATCTGACCCTGGGATGCAACCTGCCGTGTTTCCAGGTCTTTCCTGCCTGTGGCTTGCTGAGATCCACTCGCTCACGCTGAGTTTTTATTCTTTGCCTTCAGCCTGTCCCTTCAGCTCAGTGAATGGGCTTTAAGCAAGGCTTTGCTTTGCTGGAGTGTGATTTCTCTCTCTTTAGGACCAGGGAACATTCCAGAGCAAGTTAGCATGGGAAGGAAAAGGAAGAGGTGTCTGGGGGTGAGCAGTTCTGAGACCATCGGTCCTCTTCCCATGCAGTGTGATCACCGAGCTGGGATTGGACTGGCCTGGTCTCCGCAAGCCCCCTTAGCTGTGGCCCGGCAGCCCACACAGCGCGAGGCCTGAAGCAGTGAGGGTTTCTGCCCCGTGTGTTACCACACTTTACCTCACAAGCTGTGGCTGCCCTTAGGAGTAACCATCCCCAGGACAGCAGTTCTAGAATCTCACGTCCTTGAGCATCCATCCCCATCCCCAGACTTCTCAGTGCTGATGTATATGTGGTCATCTTTTTAGACCTTGGGGACTCTTCTTCTAGTTTTTTGTTGAATTATTTGGCAGTTAAGCCATGGCTTTTGGAACCTCCCATTAGAAGATGACCTGTGAACGCCCTAATGATGGTACCCAAAGGAAAGGTCAGACCTGTGCCATCTTTTCACAGAACAGTTCAGCAAATCCCAGCTTGGATGGCTGGAGACACGTTTTGCCTTGGCTCACCTTCCTCTTCCTCTTCGAGACTTCACCTCTCACTTTTCCTAGAAGTTCCTTCTTTGCATCTTTGCGTGGTTAGTGACTAGCAAAAGAAATGCGAATGATCTCTTTTTAAGGGAGCATGCGTCCCGGCCGCTGGGAGCACCTACAGTGCCGGGCGTCGATTAACCAAGTTCCCAGAGGGCGTCCTCCTCTAGCACAGCACCGTCTCTCGTGCAGGGTGCAGGGCCTGCGAGATGAGCAGGGCCCAACGGCACGGCCTCCACAGGGAGGCCACCAGCGCCCCACACAGTCCCCTGGTGTGGAATCTCCCCAGTTCGGAATGGGTGGCCGCTCATGAATACAAAAACACCCTCTGAAAGGAAAACCGTCCGTTGTGAAAGACCTCACTTCAACTCATAACATGCCTCAGGAGCGGGGTGGACAAAGCCTAATGAAGCTAGATTCTCAAGGAAACCTTCTAGAAGATGGGGAAGATGTAGAAGAGGAAGTGGGAATTCGGTCTGTGAGACTAAACCGGCCTTACAAAAATAACAGCAACCCTTGCGCTCTCACCGCATGCTGGGGTCCTCGCGAAACACTGTGCCCTTAACCTCCATGGCGGCCCAGGGAGGGGGCGTGGCTCTTCTGGCCGCTCTACCCTCTACCCTCACGGGAGTGGGATGCCCCCCTCTCCCCGCTCCCCCCTTCACAGTGTAACTAGAGCTGTCCTCTGTTGATGATCCAGAGATGCCTGGTTAGTGTAAAACTGTGCTAACTCGGAAATGATTCCTGTCGCCCCGTGGTACCAGCAGGTAGGAGGGTGATCATTTGCAACATGGGCAATGCCATGATTGGTATCACCCGTGTCTCAGAGTCATCTGGGGTCCTGGGGACGTCAATGTGCCACAACCCTCCTGAGGGGCTGAGAAAGTGAAGACACCCCTTCCCCCGTTTTGGGGTCCGATTTGCAGGCAGTGCTTGCAGCCCTGTCTGGGTTGAGGGCCCCAGTGGACCCTGGAGGAGAGGAATAGCCAAGACAGAGAGGAGACTCTGGTCCCCCTGCTCAGGGCACCCAAGCAAAACCCCTCCAGCCTGAGGTCAACCTGCAGTTGACCCGATAGATCTAGATACGCTAAAGCCCAGCTGGGCCCCAGGGTGATGTCCCAACCTTGCCACCACCCCTGCCTCAGTCCTGGTTGAAGACTGGGGACTGGGGTTTTTAGAACTTTTCCAGTTGCATGAATAACACATCTCTTACTTTATTACAATTGTGGTTGCAAAGAACCACGTGTGCGACAGAAATCTCAACCTCTTGGCTCAGAGGTCGCTGTCTGCATTCCCACCCGAAATCCTGGCCTTTCAGCGTGGACTGTGACTCGTGGCCCCGTGTGTGTGGCATCATGCCCATAGCCCGCTTGGCTCTCTGAAGCGGAAGTGAAATAAAACGGGCCGTGTCCTTGCGGCTGCCTTTACTATCAGCAGTGCCTTTCCCTGGAGGGGTTCAGTTCCAAGGGTAATTGAAGGTTTACAGCCCAGTGACTCTACGTTATTGTTTGCTGTGGCTGGCTTTGGAACCCGGTAGGTGTGCAGGTTCTCCAGAATTCTTCCTGCCTCATCCAGTCCCAATGCCCCCGGGCCACACTCGTCCCTACAGAGGCCTCTCAGAGAGCCACCCCCTGTGCTTTGCAATAATGACTGACCTTTCCTTCTTTTTCTCTCTTCTCCACAGTGTGGCAAAGGCGCAGAAAACTTTGACAAGTTCTTCACGCGAGGGCAGCCTGTCTTGACACCACCCGATCAGCTGGTCATTGCTAACATAGACCAGTCTGATTTCGAGGGGTTCTCGTATGTCAACCCCCAGTTTGTGCACCCCATCTTGCAGAGTTCAGTATGAAACCCGCCACTGAGAACCAACGCCTCCCCAGCCCCCAGGCCCCCCCACAGTGGGAAATGATCCTTAACCCTAAAATTTTAAGGCCATGGCCTTTTCTCTTGTTCCAGATTGAGGGGAGGGGGGCCTGAAAATTTTAGGGTTATTAGTCCAAATGTGAGTAACTGTTCAGGGTCTCTCTCTTACAACCAAGAACATTATCTTAGTGGAAGATGGTATAATGTACAGTGTCCAGTTTAATTATGTCGAAGTCCTGTCTGGCTGTAGGTTAACCCTTCCTAGAAAGCAAACAAGCTCTCCCCCGCCCCTTTTTTTGGTACGATTTGATATATTTTCCTTGCCCCTCTGTCGATTTCCACCATTGGGATCCCCCCAACCAGAGATGTTAAAATGAACCTGTCCTGGGGCCAGTGACTCTCCACCTGACACGTCTTTGGAACGAAAGAACGGGGGAGCCCAGAATGTGAGCCAGGTGGGATTGGGGGTTGGGGGAGGCTTTGAAATACCCGCTGCCTCTTTTCTCTGCCTCAGTGGAAACAGTCCCTAGAATTCGAGAGGCCGAGATGAATCGTGTCCCCCCCGCCCGTGATTCATTTGCAAGCTCACTGTTACCAGGGGTTGACAGTCTTAACCCAATCATGGTCCAGTGATTACTGGTCTTCAAAAGGAGAGAGAACGAACCTCAGACGAGCATCGGGTGAACCTGTCAGCTCCCCTGTTTGGTTGATCAATTATCTTGATACTTGCATTTCTTTTTAAGAGGCCAAATCTTCTAAAGACTTTGCTAAAAGAGCATGTGAAATCATTTCAGATCAAGGACAAACCAGTGTGTCTGTGTATGTGTGTGTGTGTTCATTTTAATCTCTGGGAGATTACTCCGCGATCCAGGGTGCCATCAGCAATCATGCCACTACTCGCGAGTGTTGTTAGCCAACCCCCACCCTCAACCAGTATTTTGCTACCTACGTCCTCAGAAGCTGATACGTACGCCCCCAGCCCCTTTTGTACTTATTTATTTACTAGGCTGCGGTGTCGTCCACAAGAGTACGGTGTACAGTAACTTAACAGAGTGTCGACTAGAGCATAAGTCTCCATGGATCGATCTCCCTCCCATCTCCAGCCCTTGACATCCGCTAAGGGATGAAAACCAATACAGTTTGGTCCCCCACGTCCAGTTCATGTTGAATGACACACCTGAAGCTGTAGAGTCAGGAAAACCTGGGTGCATATCAGCTCGAAGATGTATTATTGCTAGAAGGATTTTAATATGTTTTGCAGATGCATCATGCAATGAATTTTGCATGTTTCTAAGAAACCTTAATAACAAGTGAATCTATATTATTGATATAATCGTATCAAGTATAAAGAGAGTATTATAATAATTTTATAAGACACAATTGTGCTATATTTGTGAAGGCTCTTGTTTCTAATCTGCTTTTATGATTAAGTTTTCGCTTAATTCCTAGCTGCGTGCTTCCTCTCCCCCCACCCCCACTCCTCCCGTACCCTGCACACTGGCCCTATATCGGATATATTAATTTTTTATCGTAGATCTAATTTTGAAATGAATGGCTATTTTACATGATCAATTAGGCTTATATACATATATATATATATATAAATATATATATAAATATTTGATTCTACCTGCAAGCAAAAGTTTTTGTTTGGGGGGATTATTTCCGAGATGACATTCTCTCCTCGCTCCCCAGCGCCATTTTCCACTCCTATGCCACTCTTCCTCTTGGGGACATCAGGAAGCGTTTGACTCCAGTCTACCTAGTATGTCTGTGTAGGCGTGATGTTGTCACAGTCCCCGGCTGGACTCTGTTTGGTTTTTCCTTTTCAGCCTTGTTATTGTTAGTGACTCGGGGTGGGAGGGACAGGAAGATGGCCTTCCTGCTGGGTGCGTGTGCGGACACACCAGAAGCGCGCTGTCCATCCCGCTGCCCCCAGAACGATCTGCCCTTCGCTCCAGTGCACACACGCTTCATGAGACGACTGTCCAGTCCAGCAGCCCCCCTGGGCACAGCCACTCCCGGCACTATCCGCAGATTCTTCAGAAGCTGCAGATTTTTCTCCCACCTGTTGCTAGAACCAGCCTTCCCAGTCTTGCGATGAGCACCTCTGCGGTGAGACACTGTGCTAACACAAGGCCCTCGGAGAAGCCAGCCTCCTGCGACAGAAAGAACATCCAACATGGAAGCAGTTATCAGGTCTTACAGCGCCGCTCTATTTCCCATTGACCCCCAAACGCGTCTCCCAGCCTCGCACCTCCTCATTTCTACTCTCTGGCTGTTTGCCTGAAATTCATGTGACATACGAGCATGGGACGGTCTTTGAGATTGACAGGCCTGGTCTGTCCTGGGAACCCTTGATCGGAGGAAGAGGTGGGGTAGACAGTGTGTCAGCCCCAGAAGGAGCAACTTCCTCTGTCGTCTTTTATGGGCTGTAGACGTCAGAACCCAAAAAGGGCCCCAGAGTACCCAGAGCTGCAGTCCTGCTGGTCAGTGCACATCTGGGGGACACTGCCTCGCCGGGCACACCTCCTTCAGTTGGGTAGGAAAGGGGCCAGTGTATAGAATGAGCCTTAGAAACAAAACAGCCGGTCACCCTGCCCCAGGATGGAGCAGCAGTGGGACGGGCTCCCAGCCAAGCCCCAGGCAGTGAGGAAGGTTTCAGAAAGGAACACATGAGGGGTTCGGGGGCGCTGGCTCTCGAGCCCCATGCCACCTGCTTGTTTCTGAGCCCACAACAGTCTCAGGCTTTCCCTCACCCAGCCAGCATGTTTCCAAATTATTCATAATTCTCTAGGAAATGTATTCAGCATCTCAGCTGGCTTATATTCTTTCAGAATGTGTGGCAAAGTTTTAAAAGAAAATCTGGCTGCCCCCCTCCCCGCCCCACGTGGGGACAGGAGGCTTGAGGCCAAACTTGGGGGGAGACTATAAACCTCAGGGCCTACCAATGGGTCACCGTGATGTGCCCTCACTGGTGCATGTCTTAGTACCAAATCCAGATAAAGGCTAATGTGTTAAGGGTCTGAGCAGCCCCAGACCATGATTTCTGAAAGAAGAAACCGTGTGGGTGACCGAGACCAGCCTTAGACCAGCTTATAAAAGCAGCGATCTCTGTGGTTCTATGGTGTTGTCCCATGTGGTGGCATCGTGTGAAAACGCAGGGAAGCTGGCAGCTGGAATGAGGAGAGCACTTGAACTCTTGGAGTTCAGGCCCTGAGCGTTGCCTGTATTGTGGGGCCTGTGGAGGTCCAGGACCCTGGGCAGAACCTAGCACAGTCAGCTTCCCCGCCAGACCCCTCAACCCATGACTCTGAGGTGCCATTCGCATCGTCTTACCTTCTTTTCCCTTGGACGGTGTCTGACTCAGCAGCAGATCTGGGCTCTGAGGCTGCAGGCCAGTGGGCCAGCAACGCTGGCCTCTTGGCACCTTGTTTAAAGACGCTAGATGCTTGGTTTTGATGGAAGTTTCTGGAGTGTGCGGCCGGGTGTAGCCCTCGGAGGTGAATGGGAGGCTCCCTAAGACAGTTCATTCATTCAAAAGGCGATGGCTGCTCTCCAGCCCCTCTGCTTCTCTTTGATCCCCATGAGCTGGTGCCAGCGAAGGCAGAATCCCCGTCAGTCTGGTCTTAGGAGATGTGTCAGGCTCTCTTATCAGGAATTCTGGCAGAAAATTGGAGCATTAGGGCACTTCAAAAACTTGACCTGATGTGGCCGGTTGCCGGGTGATGAAAGACCACAGTTGACACAACAAGCCAAGGACGGTGGGGCGCCTCTCTGAGCTGCCGTTCTCAGCAGAGCGAGGTGTGGACCCAGAGAGCCACCGCTGACGTGCAGAGAGCGGGGAGGTCAGTGGAGGCTGAGGTCCATATGGCATTTAGAGAAGAGCAGGGATTGAGTGTATCCGAACGATGCTTGTGAGAGGAGGAAGGCAGGAGGCTGTGCAAGGAGAGGCCATCTCGGGAAGGAAGCTGCTGCCATTTCCAGTGGCTTTGTGTTGTGGGTTGTTGGTGCATTTGATAGCTACCCCCTGCTGGTCCCCAAGCACAGGTTCGTTGCCAGGGACGCAGTCTGGTCCTCAGAAAGCATCCCCTGAATGCCAGTCGCGTCCACAGCAGCCACGGGAAGCTGCTGCCCCTGCTTGCCTCAAGGTGGCTCATGGTTTTCTGGGCAAGGCCACACCATTCGGCTCGCCCTGGGAGACAGGAGGTCCCCACCAGGCTTCCGCCACAGCATCCTGCCCAGAAGGACCGGGGACAGAGGGAGAAGGGGCAAAACGAAGGAACACTCCTGTCCCCACCTGATTGCCCTTAGTGGGAGGAATCTCACTTTTTGCTGGGATTCATGTTCTCAGGATTGAAGAGGGAGGGAAAGTGAGAGTCTGATATTTTTAAATGCCTCTGAAAGGCAACACCAATTGACAGTCACTTTCTCACTTTACGAAGTCACCTGTTTCTTGTGTGTGCATATCACACCATTTCCTGTCTCTTTAAGCCCATCGGGGCGGGAGTGCCTGATCCCCCCACACCCCCGTGACTAGCACACTAGTCATCAGCAGGAAGGAGGCAGCTGGGGACCAAAGGACGATGGTGATGGTCAGTCGTTAAGAGTTACAGGAGCAATGGGGCCAGGACGGTTAGTACCAATGACGGGAAAGGGCACTCTGGTTCTTAGTGACCACACGCTAATGTGACAGGTGGGAAACTATTTTTGGAAACCTTTTCCTTGAGTTGCTTGGATTACATCTCATGGAATACACCAGACTGTAAACATGTCTGTCATTTCTCATTGAGGCTGATGAGACAACATCTAGGGAATGCTGTATATTATATATTTCTGCTAAGGAAGATGCAGAAACTTGGGAAAGGTTACCTGAGCTACAGTGAGTGAAGGCATCTAGAAATGGTGTCAGCCACAATCCTGTTAATTTTCTAACATCAGGGACTCTTTGGGAGGGTTAAAATCACGTGTGACTAGGACCCCATGCCTCTGATCTGTGATCAGGAGTCAGGTGATAATTGTGTAGGTCAAATCAGTCATCAAGCCTTACAAGGACCCTACATTAAGGCCCACAAGTTCCAAAGACTTTTTTTTAAAACTTAAGGAAGAAATTGGTTAATTCTAATAGAACAACAGTATACTAGGCTATTTGTACTTTTTTATAGAGAACTTTAATAACTCAATTCTTCTTTTAAAATAAGTTTTTAAAACAAAACTACTGACAGTTTGATAAGATTCCCAATCCTATGGGGCCTGGAGGAGGACTCAGCTGGGGTCAGCTAGAGC